TTTTAAGCATTTAAGCAGAAGCCTTAAGCATGGCTCACAAGGTTTTTGAGATCATAAAATGCATAAATTCATTAAGGGGTGTCCAAAGCTTGTGCTATTAATTGTTTCCCTCCCTCTTGTAGTGCACTTTCCCTAACACTGGCGCTCGCATCATGGCATTCATCGGTGGGCCCGCCACTCAGGGTCCGGGTATGGTGGTAGGAGATGAACTGAAAACGCCTATTAGATCCTGGCACGACATCGAGAAAGACAATGCCAAGTTCATGAAGAAAGCCACTAAAGTGAGTCTTCCCATATTTGTTCAGGGTTTCCGCGGGTCTTAAAAAATCTTAAATTTAGTTGTATCAAATTTAAGGCCTTAAAAAGTCAAGAAAGTCTTAATTATGATTTCAAGAATTGATAATTTACTTAAATTTAGGGACGGAAAGACCAGAATTGCGATATGGCTGTATGTGACGATTAAACTTAAAAAGGCTGTGATTTCATTAAATAAACATGAGCGCTGCACGTTCAAAGTCCGGTGCTGCGCTGCTTTGTGTACAGCTGTTACCGGGGAAAAGTTATATTTCTACCAAACGCTCCACCTGCTGTCAGAATGAATAAGCATTTTCAATAAAACTGATGTTTTTTTCAAAGTTCAGACAAATGCAAAAATCGACCCATGTTTTTACCCTGCAAACACGCAGAGCTTTAAATGTGAACTGGTGGATCAGTAAGAAGACAATGTATTATAAAAATCTAAACAGAATAGGGGTGTGCGATATGTATGGTCTGCGATAATATCGTAATTGTTGTTTTAACGATGTGCGATTTGATATTATCGAGTATATCACGAAAAGCAAACAAAACACCTACAGAATGCGCGCATACATTACGTGATGAAGTCTAGCAGGTTAGACTAGTGAGTGCGCGTGCGCATTTATAGTGCATTCTTTCACTACATGAATCAGTCTATTAAAATGCATTTAGAATTATCACATAATTCAAGATATGGGGCAGAAAATGTATATATTTATATCATGATTACAAATGTGATATTGATTTTATACAACGGTTCAATAAACAGGAAGTTAATATTAAGAGACTTACGTTTTAGACACCATATTTCCTGTTTTTGCGCTCTTTCTCCAACAAAAATCATTCCAAACACAGCCACAGCGCTGTATTTCTCCAACAAAAATCATTCCAAACATAACACATTCAGCAAAATATTGTCTAATTATCTTTATCGATAAAATCCCTGTAAATTATCGCGAATTATCATTTTTGATAAAAAATGATCAAATTATTATTTTTTGTCAATATCGCACACCCCTAATTTGTTATTTAATTGATATAATAATTTATTTTTAATAATTGTTTAAATTAATATAGTAATTAATACTTTAATGGTAAAAATGGTTTAAAGGCTGAAATATAAAGTTTATCATTTTGTAAAACTTTTTGTTTTTGTGAAAACTTGTATCTGAACTGTAAATTATGCTTTTTACAGCAATTTTACAGTTTAATGTGGTACTATAGACATTGCCTACCCCACTCATATGGTATTCATTTTATTTGTGCAGGTCTTAAAAAGGTCTTAAATTTGAGCGTAAAAATCCTGCAGAAACCCTGTTGTTGTCTGTATGATTGGCCTGGTAGAAGTACCCACATACTGGTGATACCAGTGATTTCATAAAGATTGAGTATCTTGAAGCTGTACTAGTGAGTGATGGGTCACAGAGGTGCATTGGAAAGTTCACAATTGAACTGACCTTTGCATTTTCAACTGAAATTTCAGAGCAGAACACCGTAAAATCAGAGTGTTATTTTCTGGAAAAACAACTGCATATTTTTTCATACAGCATTATGTGTGAAAACTGGCAATCAGCTGGTCCGCAAATGCGGATTATCCTAATTCTTACCGGATTTGAGTTTACGTCTACATTTATGCATTTGACCACACGTTTAGCCAAGTGCATTCAAGGTAGACGTTTTATCAGATCTTACTTTCCCTAGGAATCGAACCCATGACCTTTGCTTTGATAATGCCATGCATTTCTATCTGAGCTATTCCTATTCTGTTTAAAGTGTAAATGTTGTTTCTGTACACATTTAAAATAGTACTTCATTCCCTTGTAGCACTATGAAGCCTTGGCCAACCGTGCTGCTGCCAGTGGACACATCATTGATATTTATGCATGCGCTCTGGATCAGACAGGATTACTGGAAATGAAGTGCTGCACTAACTATACAGGGTAAGTGATTCAAAAAAGGTTTTCAATTTTCTTTTTAAATTGTGTTTCAGCATACTGACAGTGCGTGTTTAGAGATTTGAGGGGACTCTGGTGCATATTAAAACATGTTGAGAGTCAGGAAACATAATTCTAGACATACTATCCCCAAGATTTTCAGTACGAGCAAACACGTATTCAGAAATGTGTGAAAATCTCTTTCTTTACCATTATGCTGTTTTAATAAATTAATTTTATACTGATTGTAAACTTGCAATGTCTTTGGACTGTCTTCAACAGTACATCTTTATGCTTTTGTGTAAATGGCAGGGGTTACATGGTCATGGCGGACTCTTTCAACACATCCCTATTCAAGCAAACCTTCCAGAGAGTTTTCACTAAGGACGCGCAGGGCTCCTTTAAGATGGCATTAGCAGGGACTCTTGAGATTAAGGTGGCTTGCATTTCTTTTTGTCATTGTTCTGTTGTCTTGTCTGTTTTAATTATTTAATTATTTAATTGTGCTATATATGGGTTACCTTATAATCTTAACAAACTATTATTTCAGACTTCAAGAGAGATAAAGATTTCTGGAGCAATCGGCCCGTGTGTCTCCCTGAACGCCAAAGGTCCCTGTGTGTCAGAAAATGTAAGTACTCATCTATCTTAAATCAAATAGGCTATATATGTTCTCTTAGGTTCAGTGTTTTCCCTGGCAATGTCGACAACATACTGACATTCATTTTGACTTCTGCTTGTAGGAAATAGGAACTGGCGGAACAAGTCAGTGGAAAATTTGTGGACTGGATCCAAACACCACTCTTGCATTCTTCTTCGAGGTTGTGAATCAGGTACATAAGAATTAAATTTGTTGGATTTTCTTACAGTAGCCCTTGACATACATGTTTAGAAGCAGGCATTGTGACGGATGGTTTTGGATTACTACAGAAAATAATTTTGGCTTGTCCAAAATGTTTATTTTTTTATTACTGTGAAGCAAAAATTGGCCTCAGAGTATTACAAAAGTCACAGATACTGTGGCTGTTGAACCTGGTGTCAGATTGCATTTAGATTTCCATCTTAAAGGGATAGTTCACCCAAAAATGAAAATGTGATGTTTATCTGCTTACACCCAGTTCGTTTGTGTTCTACTGAAGAAACAAAGTCATCTACATCTTGGTAAGCAGATAAACATCAAATTTCCATTTTTGGGTGAACTATCCCTTTAAATGCAGGTGGTCCACTAGAGGGCAAACTTTCCTCATACATGGAATGTTTCTTTTGAAACTGCATTTCAATTTAAAGCATTACTTCACTGCAGTAGTTTTTAACCTTTTATATCTTTTAGTGATTCTCAAAAGATAGAATTGTAAATAAATTATTCCAAATACTGCACAGTATATGGAGGAACATGACGTGAAATTTGTACAGAGAATAATTTGGAGTTAGTCTTGTCTTCACAGTTACTCATTTTATTTTGTCGTTCTGAGTATGCATGGTTTTAAAGGAATAGTTCACCCAAAAATAAAAATGTGCTTAATTTATTTGTAGATGAGCTTGTTTGTTCATCAGATTTGGAGAAATTTAGCATTACTTCATTTGCTCTCCAATGGATCCTCTGCAGTGAATGGGTGCCGTCAGAAGGAGAGTCCAAACAGCTGATAAAAACATCACAATAATCCACATGACTCCAGTCTATCAAATAACGTCTAGTGAAGTGAAAAGCTGCATGTTTGTAAGAATTAAATACATAATTAAAACGTTTCAACTTTAAACTTTTGTTTCTTGACAAAATGTAAGTCTATAATCCATAATAACGCTTTCTCCAGGGAAAAAAAATCTTGACTAAAAACATTTTGACTAGTGGATTATTGTGATGTTTTTTTATCAGCTATTTGAACTCAGATTCTGACGGCACCCATTCACTGCAGAGGATCCATTGGTGAGCAAGTTATGTAATGCTAAATTTCTCCAAATATTTTCTGACGAAGAAACAATTCATCTTCATCTTGAATGGCCCGAGAGTGTTTACATTTTGTGCAAATTTTCATTTTTTGGGTGAAATATTCCTATAATGTTTGCCGGCTTACACAGTTACTGTACAGTGAATAATCATTTTAGAGGTTGGCGTGAGCTTTTATTTATTTATTTTATTTTACGTAGCTAGTGAAATGCGTCAGTTCAGATTGCGCCATCAAAATAATCAAAATTGCAGTCAAAGTCAGTCATGGATGCAGTTCCTGAAAGCAGTTGAACTGTGATTGGCCGTTTCAGATGCTGAACATTTTAGAGACAGCATTCATTTGAGCATTCATTTACAAAAAAAAAAAAGAATCATTGTTTGTGTTCAAGTCACAAAAGAAAACAATACAACTTTTCTGAAGCAAGATTCTTGAAGATTGAAGATTCTTTCTTCAAGATTCGTTTACTGTAGAATATCGCACAAGGTTTCTTCTTTCTGCATGAAGTCTGTTTACATCATAAGCAGTGAAATTGCTTCTGGTTAGCTCAGCCAACCCAGTGTCCTCTTGTGCTGGGGTGAAGCGATGCTGCAGACGCTTCCTTAAGTCATGATTATTTCTACGCCAGTGGTGTCAAACTCAGTTCCTGGAGGGCCGCAGCCCTGCATAGTTTAGTTCCAACCCTGCTCCAACACACATACCATGTAGTTTTCAAATAAGCCTTAATGACTTGATTAGCTGGATCAGGTGTGTTTAATTAGGGTTGCATCTAAACTGTGCAGGGCTGTGACCCTCCAGGAACTGAGTTTGACACCCCTGCTCTACGCTATTCAAACCACCAAAGGTCAGTGAGGGTCGCGCTCAAACCAGCGTGAGGTCCTGTTGGGGTTCGTTGTTTGTTTGTAGTGCCAGAGGTACACTGGGAGCTGGCGAGGAGAAGCTGTTGCTCTCGCGGCGTGGCTGTATGTTCGTGCACTGGGAGAGGGAGTTTTTACGAGGATACTCAAACATCTGCCGGATTTTATTCAGGCTTTTGCGCAGCGCTGCTCTGTACCTCCTGAGAGATACAAACAAGGTCATGGTAAACCTCCCACATACTTGCAAGCTCTAAGAATCTAAAAAAACAACCACATATCAATACCATGATTCATAGCCACTCCATGTTCTCTTTCTAGATGTGGCCCAAATTGGCCATTGAGTTTTTACCTCTACCTTCCTTTTCCAATCCTGCTCCACATTTGATTCCTGCCACATTTTATTTACGAAACATTATTGAATGTGACGGGTATTAATATGGGCTGCCACATCTGATAGTTAAAAGGCCAGGAATGTCTTAATCAACAATAAAAAAGGTAATGTCTCTCCATGATTACATTTCCCAAAATAGTGAGCTTCTTTTCAGGGAGAATGTGTTATGGATCTTCCTGTCTTCCTTCTACCTATCATGCCATTAAGGATGGGCTGTGTGACCTTATATTTACAGTAATGTCTTGCAGTAATGATATATATTACAATATAGTTGTTTCCCCTTGAAATTCAACCATAAAATGGTTTATATATTAATATATAAATGCATCGTGAGGTCTGTACGTTTTTGTTTAATGCTTTTTAAAGCATAAGAGATGTCTTACTGAAGCTGCATTTATTTGATGAAATATACAGAAAACCTTAATATTGTGAAATATTGTTACAATTTTAAACAGCTGTTTTCTATTTAAATTTGTTACAATTTTAAACATTTCTTGTTATCAATGCTGAAAACAGTTGTAATATTTTTGGTGAAACCATGATACATTTTTTGTCCAGGATTTTTTGTTGAATAGAAATTTTAACAGCATTTATTTTAAAGAGTTTATAAAATAAATTATTTTAAAATATGGTCTTTTTTGGTCAATTGATGCAGCCTTGCTGAATAGAATAAATTTTTTATAAATTTTTGAAATGTTTGAATAATGGTGAATTTTATTACACCAGAGTGTGACAATAAAGCAGTGACGTACATATTAATTGGTATAGGTATATAGGAGACATGTGTTTTCTGTTGTTATATGTATATACTGTCATACAGCCCAGCTTTATTTGCTTTGTAAGAGACATACTTGCCTTTTTACCCTACTTCCACATGATATGCATTATAAGAATGAAAATGGTGCGCTTAGTTGCTTACGTTTGAGTCATGGAGTTGATCCATGGGTTAAGAGCTGAAGTGAAGAGTACAAGCGATGTGGCAACAGCCGAGGCAGGCTGCGGGCTCTCTTTTTCCGTCAATGTCTCAAAGAAGCAGATAACGATGTATGGCAGCCAGCAAATGAGCAGGCACACTGTCAACAACACGCACAAATCACATGACGTGGTTAAAGATTTTTTGGACAAGCTTATTTCATTAGCTCAAGAGGAATATCGACTTGAACTGTCTGGAGGTTGTGTTGCATGTGTGATGTATTTTGCTAATTAATTAGTTTCTCCATAATCTACCTGGACCCTTGCTGTTGTTTTTCTCAGTCACCAAAGACAGGAATAAACATCATACATTTAAAATAATTAGGTTGTCAATCGATTAGAATTTTAAATTGAATTAATTGCATTGAGTTCACAATTGAAATCACAATTAATCCACAGCAATTCAGTTTTGCAGTTAAATTTGCTAGTCTGTGGGTTAGTTGTGTCTACATACAAACACAGACTGATGTCTTAAGCCACTGTAATCTCACTAACTCTAATTTTATTCTATACATTTTCTGATTTACATAACCAGTCAAAAGTCTGGACACACCTGCTCATTCTTTATTATTTCCATAATGGGGAAGAAGGCAAAACTTTGAAATAGAACAAATGGAAATAGCAAAAATATTAAATTTGTGTTATCTTATTATTTTTTAGCTTCATTGTATAGATTCCAGCTCTGCACACCAACTTCATGAGGTGCAATGTGGGTTGCTTTTAAACAGCACTGAAGTAGTATGCTGGATACTTGTTGGCTGCTGTTCCTTCCTCTCCAGTCCAAGTCGTCCATTAAAAAAATTAAAGTTTTTGAAATTAAATTCATACATAGACATTTTATGTTTGTCTGCAAAACTAATTTGAAGCATTTAAGGTGAAGCCTGTAATGTTTTTAAGGTCGTGAGAAACATAAATGGAGTTACATGAAGTGTCTAAACTTTTGACTTGGTGTATTTTATTTGGAGTCATTGGCGCAGTGCTCAAGACACAAATGAGGTCTCTATAATATCTAAATTTTTTAGCAATTAGATTAAATGGAGAGAAAAATGAGAGAACAATTTGTCTTTAAAAATTATTATTTTCTATACTTTCAGAAGGCTCTGCAATCTATAATTATGTTATAGTATTATAGTATTACTGTACACTATTATTCAAAAGTTTGGGGTTAGTAAGAAATGCTTTTATTCAGCAAGGATGCACTAAATTGACCAAAAGTGACTGTAAATATAATGTAATACAAAATATTTATATTTCAAATAAATGTTGTTCTTTTGATATTTGTTTATCAAAGAAACCTTAAAAATGTATTATGGTTTTCACAAATATATTAGGCAGTAACATTGATGATAATAAGAAGAAATGTTTCTTGAGCAGTAAATCAGCATATTAGAATGATTTCTGAAGGATCATGTGACACTGAAGACTGGAAGCAGGAAGCAAGTCTCCATATGTCAAGGAAAAATTATTGTACCTAATCAAGTGATGTCAGAAAGATAATCACTTATTAAAAATCCAAAACACTGTGGCAAATCAAACACAATAAAGCTGCTTTATGCCCCCTGGTTTAATTACGCTTACCTATGGTAGTCACCATTACTATGGAGCTTTTGAAGTAATTACTGGCTGGCACGTAGAAACAATGGTCTTCGTTGCAAACAAACGTCCCTCGTCGCACCTGGTTCCTGGCTATATACACTATATATCCATACATGGAGCACATCAGTACAATGGGAATGATGATTCCCACCACCATGAAGAGCATGTTGAAGGCAATGCTGGACGGTTTGAAGTTGGGAACACAGAGGAACTTTGTCTCGCTGTAGACGTAACTACCAAAACCAAAGAGTGGCAGAGCTGCGGTGAGGATGCTGTAGACCCACACCATTGCGATGATGACTTTGGCCCTGTATGCTGTGAAGATCACGGGGTAGCTGAGGGCAAAGTAGATCTCTGTGAACTTGACGACAGTCGCCCAGGTGAGCGAATGGATTGAGGCGAGCTGGAGCAACAAAAACAGAAAGGCGCTGCCCTTGCAGGTGGCGCTCTTACTAGGGTAGCTCTTGACTTGAAAAAGGCTGTTATGGATACCGAAAGGGATGGTGGAGACGCCCAATGCCAGATCACATAGGCAGAAGCTTAAAGTGAGACCCCAGGTGTCCGTTTGCAAACTCCGATTGAGTAACACCACCAACAGTAATACCAAGTTCCCCAACACGGAGCAGATACTGGAACCGATCATCAACGCTGCATAAACCATCGCCGTCCACTGCATGTTTACATGTGCGTTCAAATGCAGACATTTACAAAGAAGAACACAAACGCTCATTCAACGACAGAGATCACACTGGAAGCTGTGGAAAGAGGAGGTCACGTTATCTGTGCCAAACCACCAGGGAAGGTGTTGCTTTATGGGAGGAGTGTACCTCATGCTGATCTTCAGGAGTAGAGGATCAACCGCAATTTACCAAGCACTGATCTCTTTGGGGAGCGTTAGTCAAACCCCCCTCGACCTTTCCTATCAGCACCTGCCTCAGTCGGTTCGAAAATGGCAAACACGCTGCCTTGAGAGGCAAAACTATGTGAACAGCTACAATCACATGTAGCGAGGTAAATAAAGCATCTAAGATTTAAAGAGTATGTTTCTGTGGACACAGGGCGCACTGGGAGGCTGGAGCTGCACTGCTCTGCAAACACGACGCTTGAGATTCAATATCCTCTCTGTTGCGGCTGCTGCCGACTTTATGAGCCGTTTCATGCTCGAGTGTTTTTTTAGTATAATTGGCAAGAAGCATGACCCTAATGCGGTTTAAGCCTTAATCATTAATTAAGGCTTCGGTGCCTTTACGCAGAGCTTAAGCCTTCCTTCCAGTTATAACAGTTATATCCTGTTACATGTGTCGTTTCTTATGGGCATTAAACAGTTTTTGGATTACAGGTTTTTTGATGGTATTGCACAAGCCATATTTGCAATACCTAACCTGGAATTAATTGTTTAGTCAAATATAAATATCAAAACTTACTAATTACTTCACAGTTGCAGTCAGTTTCTATGAAAGCCCGTTTCCGCACTGTGTAAAAAAATAAAACAAGGTAATTGCGACTTTTTATCTCACAATTATTATAATTTTTTTTTTTACATTTCTTGCAACTGCTAGTTTACATCTCACAATTCTGACTTTTTTTTCTTGTAATTGTGAATTTACATGTCACAATTCTTACTTATTTTCTCAGAAGTGTGAGAGATAAACTCAAAATGGCAAGTTATAAAGTCCAATTCTGAGGGGATAAAAAAAGTACTTTCTTACAATTGTGAGTTTATATCTTGCAATTCTGACTTTATTTCTAAGAATTGCGAATTTATCTCACAATACTGACTTTGCAATTCACAATTCAGAATTGCGAGAGATAAATTAGAAATTCATAGAAATAAAGTCATAATCGTGATATAAAAAGTAGCAATTCCTTTTTTTTCCCTTTTTTTTTCCAGTGGCGGAAACATGCTCTTAAGTTCACCAAGACTGAAAATTCAGCTTTGGCATTACAGGAATACATTTCATTTTAAAGTATATTAAAATAGTAATATTATCAAATATTATTACAATTTAATAAATTTTTTCTTTGTTTTTAATCAAATAAATGCAGCCTTTGTGAGCATAAGATACTTTTAAACTTTGAAAAGTTTGGAATATTGATGATTTTTTTATAGTAGACTTCTTGAGGAGTGGGACACTGTGGCTTTGCTAATGCTTCCAAAACATCTCCATTTGTCTTCGATTCTTGCTTAATGGTGTGACTTTGGATTAGACTATGTATAAGCTGTTCAGTGGAGCATTAGTTAGTTTGTCCAGACAATAGCAGATTGGTGGGAATGTTTTGGAAACCTGTTAGAATGCAACCCTTTATCTTTGCAATAACCTTTGATGGGTTTGTCTTTAATATTGTTGAACAAAATATTGAGCAGTGTTCTCTGTCTTTTCTTTTTCCTCAGCACAACGCTCCTATCCCACAGGGTGGACGTGGAGCCATACAGTACGTAACACAGTACCAGCATTCTAGCGGGCAGAGGCGCATCAGAGTGACCACAATTGCAAGGAAGTGAGTGTTTTCAACATTGACAATAAGAAGAAATATTTCTTGAGCAGCAAATCAGCATATTAGAATGATTTCTGAAGGATCATGTGACCCTGAAGACTGGAGTAATGATGCTGATGGTTATAGTTATTAATAAAATAGTTATTTTAAATTATATTTTTGATCAAATAAATGCAGCCTTTGTAAGCGCAAGTGACCTCTTTCAAAAACATCTTACCAACTCCAAACTTTTGAATGGTACCGTAAGGCTTTTGTATATTAGAACTTCTGTTCTACTGTATTTTAACCCTAAATGTCACCGAAATGTCACTGAGACACAAGAACCGATAAAGTCCACAAAGTGTCCACTTTGTTCACTATACATTTGAGTAATAGTACACTTGGCAAGAGGAACTATGGGGGGGGGAAACCTTGTAGATAGTTCTTCTTGTAGATTGTCCTTTCATAAATGTTCAAGTTTGGACATCATCTTTGTACATCATCCATTTGTTATGTTCAACATTCACGTACAGTTTCCAAGACAACTTGAAGAAGACATCAAAAGATTCCACTTTTAGAACATTGCATTTGTTTGTCAGAATCAATGTGCATCGTAAGCATAAATTTAGTCTTGGACAAAGACTAATGCACTGCTTGTAGCTTTCAAACATACTAAAAGTGTTTTAAGTGCCTGAAACATTACTGAGCTCTTTGACTCTTTTCTGTTCTGTCGCTTTAAATATACCTTTTAGATTTCTTTTTTATCATGCAGACATGAGGATGAATCAATGTGAGTCAGACCGATGATGCAAAAGCTTGTATTTGAAGGTCACTGTGCTATAACATGTTCATCGCATCCTCCTCTTCAGCTGGGCTGATGCGCAGACTCAGATCCAGAGCATCGCTGCATCTTTTGACCAGGAGGCCGCTGCCATCCTCATGGCCCGCCTGGCCATCTATAGGGCCGAGACGGAGGAGGGCCCGGATGTTCTGCGCTGGCTGGACCGACAGCTCATCCGCTTGGTGAGTCTTTCAGCACTTCTTCTTTCAGCTGGGACTTACTTGGTATAATCAGTACTTTAGTATTAGGGATGCACAATAATTTATTTATTTTCTTTCATTTGCAGTGCCAGAAATTTGGAGATTATCATAAAGACGATCCCAATTCATTCCGTTTCTCTGAGACGTTCTCATTGTATCCTCAGGTACGTTATTTTTGTCTCACACTCTGAGACTACACTGAATCTCGCTTTACAGCTAAGTGAAAATAAGATCTTGACATTGTCTTTGGCAGTTTATGTTCCATCTGAGGAGGTCTTCATTCCTGCAAGTGTTCAACAACAGTCCTGATGAAAGCACCTATTACAGACACCAGTTCATGAGACAGGACCTGACCCAGTCTCTGATAATGGTACAGCCCATCCTGTATGCATACTCGTTCAGCGGGCCACCAGAGGTAAACATGCAAACCTTCTCTCACAGCACATTTAATGTTTGCTTGATTTGACGGATCAATGAGGGACTTTATAGATGGAAGATTCATGCATGATTTTCAACGCATGAAATAAATTTTCTCCAAATTGTTAGAAATGAATGAATATATGATGTATATAATATATATATATATACATATAATGGCATCACTAGGTTCTGTCAGTCAGAAACATGGCTTTTCGTATCACTGCTATGCTGATGACACTCAACTCTACCTCTCATTCCATCTTGATGATCCGACGATAGCTGCTAGCATCTCAGCATGTCTAACAGACATTTCTTGTTGGATGAAGGACCACCACCTTCAACTCAACCTGGCTAAGACAGAACTGCTTGTGGTTTCAACAAACCCATCACTTTATCAAAATTTCACCATCCAGTTAGGCTCATCAACCATAACTCCTTCAAAAACAGCTAGAAACCTTGGAGTTGTGATTGATGATAAGCTGAATTTCTCAGACCACATTGCTAAAACTGCCCGGTCCTGAAGATTTGCTTTATACAACATTAGGAAGATCAGGTCCTTTCTTTCAGAACATGCAACACAACACCTTGTTCAAGCTCTTGTTCTGTCCAGGCTGGACTATTGCAATGCTCTCTTGGCAGATCTTCCAGCCACTTCTATCAAACCTCTACAACAAATCCAAAATGCCGCTGCAAGATTAATCTTTAATGAACCGAAAAGAACGCATGTCACACCTCTGTTCATCAATTTGCACTGGCTACCAGTAGCTGCTCGCATTAAATTCAAGGCATTAATGTTTGCCTACAAAACCACCACTGGCTCTGCACCCATTTACCTAAATTCATTACTTCAGAGTTATGTGCCCTCTAGAAGCGTGCGTTCTGCAAGTAAACGGTGTATTATTGTGCCATTTCAAAGAGGCACAAAATCACTTTCACAGACTTTTTCATTAACTGTTCCCTCCTGGTGGAATGACCTGCCCAAATCAATCCGAGCAGCTGAGTCCTTAACCATCTTCAAGAAACGACTAAAAACACACCTGTTCCACCTTTATTTGACCCTCTAACCCTAGCACTTTCTATTCTATTTTAATTCTAATTTATCTTCTTTTTTTTTATTTTAAAAAAAACACTAGCTTTCTATTTTTTCTATTCTATCTACTTGTTTTTCTTTGTGCGTGTGTGTGTATATGTATGTGTGTGTGTGTATAATATATATATATACCTTGCTACGTGTACTGCGTTAGGCTAACCGAGACTTGTCATTTGCACTTATATATTGTTGCTCTTTTGTTAGTTTTGATTGCTTCTATTGTCCTCATTTGTAAGTCGCTTTAGATAAAAGCGTCTGCTAAA